ATATATGTGTATATATATATACATATATATATACGTATATATATACGTATATATATATGTGTATATATATGGCTGGGTTGGAGCCCAGGGTAGAGGGCATGGCCCTTGACGCGCTGGCGGGGGTCACCCCGCAAATCTCCATGGGATCTTGCAACCCGAGTTTGGCCACAGGGGAAATGAGTGACCTGGGGAACCCCAGCACCCGTTTTGTGCCCCCTGATGGCACTCACCTCCCAATGCCAACTCCATAGGGTCCTCAGCTGTGGCGGGGGCGTCCCGTGGCTGGGACAGGCGTGGTCCAGGAGTGCCCCCTCCCCTCCAGGGGCGGGGCGTGGAGTCCTTCCCGGGCTTCGTAAGTGCCTCGGAGAGGGCGGGGCTCGTGGAGGCGGGGCAGGGAGGAGGGGGCGGGCCTGGCGCGGGCATTTCCTCAATCTGACTGGTCCTCCGGCCCGTCACTCCCGGGCGCCCCCTCCCACCCCACCACGCGGTAAAAGCCAGCCCCGCCCCGGCTCGGACGGTTTCCAGGCTGGTCTTGGAGTCGAGGCCGCTGTGCCTGGGACGTCCCGCTGACCGCGGTGAGTGGCGGGGGCGCCTCAATTGAGCTGGGGGGCGGAACCCACCGAATCCTGGGCTCCCCACGGGCGGAGCGGTCGGGGAGGGCCTTTCTGGGAGTGGGATTTGCTGGACTCTGCGGCCTGGCGGGGGGTCTTCAGCCCGGGCTGATCACCCCTCCCCCCAGAAAAAATCCAACTTCTGCCGCGAAGCTCAGACTTTGAAACTCTCTTCTCATTTCCTGGGACTTTTGAGGGGCGAAAGGGCACCCCCCCTAGAAGGGGTGCTGTTGAGGGGGGTGGGCTAAATACCGCCCCCACCACCAGGTTTTCTCTAAATTTTGAACAGTGTGCTTGCTTTGGGAAACGCAGTTTGCTGGCCTGTTTCCTCCCGCGGGCAGAAACTCCGCCCTCCCTTCCGGGGTCTTCAGAGACACCCCCCCCCCACCGCAAAGCCACCTCCCCCACAGTTGGTTTTGCCACCAGGGGTTTGCCCCAGCTCCTGGCGCCCCCAGCTGATTCTGGGGAGGTCTTGCGCAAATCCCGCCGCCTTCCCTCGGGTGGGCGTGGCAGCGAGATGGCTTAGAAGTAGGAAGGCATACCCTGAACTCTGGGGTTCTTGTCCCAGCCGGGCCTGGCAGTGGGACCAGGGGCTCTTGGAATTTTGGAAGTCAGTCTTAGCATGCCGGGAAGTTGCTGGATGGCTGTGTCTGGCCTGGAGCTCTCCTTCTGGAGCCAGCGGCCAAACAGGTCATTGACCCCCAAGGCTTTCAGAGGGTGTTGACTTCTGCAATGGCGGCCCTTGTTTAAACCAGTTCCAGGAGGTCATGGTGGACAAAGGGGACGGGAAGAAGCTGCCTGAGTCTTAAGTGGGACTTGAGAATCTCTGAGGCCAGGACTTCGATGCCTGCTTACCTGGCCCCCTGCCCAGGTGAGCTCAGGAAGTCAGGAGAATAGATTAGGCAATGATCACTGAGAGATAGGTGTGTCTCCTCACCTGACTTCCCAGTTCGGGGACTTTTGTATCTAGCAGGAAGCTGGTTCCTGGCTGGCTTCACCTCTTTGTCCATGGAAGCCAGAGTGGGGTGAGATGGATTTTTTTTTTTTTTTTTGAAACGGAGTCTCGCTCTGTCACCCAGGCTGGAGTGTGATGGCACAATCTCAGCCCACTACAACCCCTGCCTCCCAGGNCGGAGTCTCGCTCTGTCACCCAGGCTGGAGTGTGATGGCACAATCTCAGCCCACTACAACCCCTGCCTCCCAGGCTCAAGTGATTCTCCTGCCTCAGCCTCCTGAGTAGCTGGGATGACAGTGCGCCACCATGCCCGGCTAATTTTTATATTGTTAGTACAGGCAGGGTTTCACCTTGTTGGTCAGGCAGGTCTTGAACTCCTGACCTCGTGATCCGCCCGCCTTGCCTCTCTTAGGGCAGGCGTGAGCCACTGCGTTCAGCCACGGTGAGACGGTTTATGGAGCACTTACTGTGTGCCAGTCACAGAGCTGAGCTTCCCCGGAGCAGTGTCTCCACTCCACAGGGACTCTTGGCTGTTGTGAGACACTTGTACCCATTTCACAGATCTGGCAAGCAAGGCTTCTAGGGAATGCTGCCTTCCCAAGCCCCTATTCCTAGTGAGTTGGCAAACTGGGATTATAACCCAGACTAGGCTGGGCACGATGGCTCACCCCCTATGATCCCAGCACTTTGGGAGGCCAAGGTGGGCAGATCATTTGAGGTCAAGAGTTTGAGACCAGCCTGGCCAACATGGTGAAACCCCGCCTCTACTAAAAATATAAAAATTACCCGGACATGGTGGTAGGAGCCTGTAATCTCAGCTACTCAGGAGGCGGAGGCAGGAGACTCTCTTGAACCCTGGGGGCGGAGGTTGTAGTGAGCCGAGATCATGTCCCTGCACTCCAGCCTGGGCAACAGAGCAAAACTCCCATCACGCACACACACAAAAAAGAAAAATAAATAAATAAAAGACAACCCAGTCTGGACTCCAGATCTAGTGCTCTCAAAACGTCATTTGCTGGGTTCTGCTTAGGAAATGTCAAAGCAAAGCTGCCGGGATGCTGGGCCTCTTTCCTCTGGAAGAAATGCTCAGAGTCAAGGTCACAGGTTTTTACGCTCACACCGGAATTCCCCAGGAAAGCAGTCTGTAAAGCAGCCATGACCTTTAGCCCAATTTTTTTCTTTTTTTTGGGATGGAGTCTCCCTCTGTCACCCATGCTGGAGTGCAGTGGCGTGATCTTGGCTGACTGCAACCTCCCCTCCCAGGTTCAAGTGATTCTTCTGCCCAGCCTCCCAAGTAGCTGGGATCACAAGTGCTCGCCACCACGCTTGGCTAATTTTTGTGTTTTTAGTAGAGAAAGGGTTTCACTGTGGTGGCCAGGCTGGTCTCGAACTCCTGACCTCATGCTCCAACCGCCTTGGCCTCCCATAGGGCTGG